AGGGATAGCACCCAGTCCCAGAGTTCAAACCCCATGATTGCAAAAAAAAAAGTCTCTTGGCCTTTCCTGCCTAGGCTGGCTTTAAACTATGATCTTCATATCTCAGCCTCCTGAGTAGCTAGGATTACAGGTGTGAGCTACCAGTTACTGGCTTGCTTAATACTATTTAATTCAAATTTGGTTTCAAATTTTCAGAAATATCCCTTTGCATGCATTTCAATCTGCCTGTAAAATGTAGTTTTTCTTTTTTCTTTTATTTTGGGTCCGGTCATGGGGCCTGAACTCTGGGCCTGGGTGCTGTCCCTCAGCTCTTCAGCTCAAGGCTAGCACTCTACCACTTGAGCCACAGCACCACTTCCGGCTTTTCTCTTTTTGCTTATGTGGTGCTGAGGAATGGAACCCAGGGCCTCATGCATGCAAGGCAAGCGCTCTACCACTGAGCCACCTTCCCAGCCCCTATTACAGCCATGTTTAAGTAGGAACTGGTAAGTAGTTCCAGAAGAATGTACGTGTGTGCACGCACGCACGTGTCTTTGTGTGTGTGCGTGTGTGCATGTGTGCATTCTCGTGCACACGCATTTACCAGCATTGTGGCTTAAACTCAGGGCCTGGGTGCTATTATATACTTTTCTAGTTTTTATTTATTTTTTGGTTGGTCATGGGGCCTGAACTCTGGGTCTGGGCACTGTCCCTCAGCTCTTCAGCTCAAGACTAGCACTCTACCACTTGAGCCAAAGCGCTACTTCCAGCCTTTTCTGCTTATGTGGTGTGGAGGACTCGAACCCAGGGCCTCATGCATGCAAGGCATGCACTCTACCACTGAGCCGTCTTCCCAGCTCCTATTATATAGTTTTTTTTAACTAAAAGCTGATGCTCTGCCACTTGAGCCATACCTCCACTTTTGACTTTTTGTTGGTTAAAAGGAGATAAAGAATATCATGGACTTTTCTACCTCAGTTGGCTTTAAACCCTGACCCTCAGATCTCTGCCTCCTAAGTAGCTAGGAGGGCAGTTGTGAAGCACCAGGGACTCGCCACAAGCCTTTTCCACCTCACCAAGTGTCCAAAAGGTCTAGAATCCATTATGAGCAACCTCCAGCCATTAGCTTCCCTCTGCTCAATGCCAGGCTTTCAGTTACCACCCAGGGGCAGTAAAGTAAAGACAAAGGGTCCTCTTAGTGCATGACATTTTTTTCTCTCTTTAATCTTACAGTTTCATTTTTCGCCATCCTCAGATCTGTTCAGCCAAAATGGGGGGAACTGGGGTGGGGGGAAGAGATCTCCTAAAAAGGAAGTCCCTAGCTTTTGCTTCTTTGCTCAATCCAATTTTTTTTCTTACTTCATGGTAGGAGTCTGAACCTTTCTTCTGTATCCAATATTTCCAGGCAAAACAAAGCCAAACCAAACCAAACCAAACCAAAACAGTATTATCCTCTGCCTACCAGAAGATCTGATTTGTTTTGTCTAAGGAAGCCCCCTATGTTCTAACATAACACAATCAGATTTGAAACTAAGGATCTAAATGAACTATCTAAAGTCAAAGTAGATCACTTTTTTTTTCTTTGTTGGTACTAGGGCTTGAACTCAGCACTTTGAGCTTACTCTTGGCTGGAACTATACCACCTGATCCAAACCCCCAACCCTGCCTTTTCCAGGTGTTTTGGGAGATGGATTTTTTTTTTTTGCTGTTGTAGCTCTTGGGGCCTGAACTCTGGACTTGGGCACTGTCCCTCAGCTCTTCAGCTCAAGGCTAGCACTCTACCACTTGAGTCACAGTGCCACTTCTGGCTTTTTTCTTTTTGCTTATGTGGTGCTGAGG